CATTAGTTTTAGGTTAGGCTGTTTGGTTTAGGTTAGGTTAGGTTAGCGTTAGGTTAGTTAGGTTAGGTTAGGTTAGGTTATAGGTTAGGTTTAGGTTAGTAGAGGGTTAGGTAGGGTTAGGTAGGTTAGTTAGGTTAGGTTTAGGTGGTTAGGTTAGGTTAGGTTTAGGTTAGGTAGATGAGGTTTAGGTAGGTTAGTTAGGTTAGGTTAGGTTAGGTTAGGTTAGGTTAGGTTAGGTTAGGTTAGGTTAGGTTAGGGTTTAGGTTAGGGTTGCGTTAGGGTTAGTTTGTTTAGGTTTGTTTTAGGTTAGGTTTAGGTTAGGTTAGGTTAGGTTAGGTGTAGTTAGAGTTAGGTTAGGTTAGGTTAGGTTAGGTTAGGTTAGGTTAGGTTTGTTTAGTTAGGTTAGTTAGGTTAGTTTAGGTTAGGTTAGGTTAGTTAGGTTAGGTTAGGTTAGGTAGGTAGGTTAGGTTTTAGGTTAGGTTAGGTTAGGTTTAGGTTAGGTTAGGTTAGGTTAGGTTAGGTTAGGTTTGTTTAGGTTAGGTTAGGTTAGGTTAGGTTAGGTTAGGTTAGGTTAGGTTAGGTAGGTTAGTTAGGTTAGGTTTGTTTAGGTTAGGTTAGGTTAGGTTTAGGTTAGGTTAGTTAGGTTAGGTTAGGTTAGGTTAGGTTAGGTTTAGGTTAGTTAGGTTGGTAGTTAGAGGTTAGGTTAGGTTTGTTTAGGTTAGTTAGGTTAGCGTTTAGGGTTAGGTTAGGTTAGGTTAGGTTAGGTTAGGTTAGGTTTGTTTAGGTTTTGGTTAGGTTAGGTTAGGTTAGTTAGTTAGGTTAGGTTTGTTTAGGTTGTTTAGGTTAGGTAGGTTAGGTTAGGTTAGGTTAGTTAGTTAGGTAGGTTAGGTTAGGTTAGTTAGGGTTAGCGTTAGGTTAGGTTTGTTTAGGTTAGGTTAAGTTAGGTTAGGTTAGGTTTAGGTTAGGTTTGGTTAGTTAGGTTAGGTTAGGTTAGGTTTGGTTAGGTTAGGTTAGGTTAGGTTAGGTTAGGTTAGGTTAGGTTAGGTTAGGTTAGGTTAGGTTAGGTTAGTTAGGTTTGTTTAGGTTAGGTTAGGTTGTTAGTTAGGTTAGATTAGGTTAGGGTTAGGTGTTAGGTTAGGTAGGTTAGGTTAGGTTAGGTTAGGTTAGGGGTTAGTTAGGTTAGGTTAGTTTGTTTTAGGTTAGGTTAGGTTAGGTTTAGGTTAGGTTTGTAGGTTAGGTTAGGTTAGGTTAGGTTAGGTTAGGTTAGGTTATAGGTTTAGTTAGGTTTGTTATGTTAGGTTAGCAGGTTAGGTTAGGTTAGGTTAGGTTAGGTTTGCTTAGGTTAGGTTAGGTTAGGTTAGGTTTGTTTAGGTTTGTTTAGGTTAGGTTAGGTTAGGTAGGTTAGGTTAGGTTTAGGTTCGTTAGTTAGGTTAGGTTTAGGTTAGGGGTTTTTTTAGGGTTAGGTTTAGAGTTAGCGTTAGGTTGGTTAGTTAGTTAAGGTTAGGTAGGTTTGTTTTAGGTTTAGTTTAGTTAGGTTAGTTAGGTATAGGTCTAGCGTTAGGTTTAGGTTAGGTTTAGGTTAGGTTAGGTTAGGGTTAGGTTTAGTTAGTTAGGTTAGGTTAGGTTAGGTTAGGTTAGTGTTAAGTTAGCGTTAGCTTTAGGTTAGGTTAGGTTACGGTTAGTTAGGTTAGGTTAGGTTAGGTTAGGTTAGGTTAGGTTTAGGTTTGTTAGGTTAGGTTTAGGTTAGTTAGGTTAAGTTTGTTAGGTTTAGGTTAGGTTGTTAGGTTAGGTTAGGTTAGGTTATTGGTTAGGTTACGGTTAGGTTAGGTTTGTTTAGGTTAGGTTAGGTTAGGGTTAGGTTAGGTTAGGTTTAAGTTAGTTTGTTTAG